GGTAAAGAAGTTTTTCCTTCTGTCCAGTTTAAAATGGTCTTCCAGCATTTTGTGACCGTTAGACATGGTCTTCCCTTGGGGTGTCCTGTTGAACAGATGTTCTCCCAGTTCCTGATCCACCCCCCTTATATACTTACAGGCTGCCACCAAGTCACCCCTGAGCCTAGTTAGTCTTTGTCCTAGCTGAATTTAGGTTATAAAATCTTTTTCCTACCAACCTGAAAAGGTCTCCAAATTTGCTTCTCAGGTGACTACATGATACATAGAGGTCATAGAGGTAAGCTAAAATACATCTTTCAGGGGAAGAACATTCTGACGGATTAACAACATGCTTGACAACACCACATAATCTGCAAAAAAAATTAAAGAAAAAAGAAAAATTAGTGTTTAATTCCAACCCAAACTTTTAAAACATTTTACTAGCTTTAAAACAACATGTGTCCCCAGGAACTAAACACAGAATTAATAAAGAATGGACTAGCAATAGGAAGAAGGGTTTCATTTGAAACGTTCACAGGATTTTACACACAAGCACATTCCTGCAGAATTACCTGTGAGAAAGACCGTGACACCCAGATCATTCCATTTGAGTGACATGGGTCTGCCCCCAGAGAATTCAGGGTAACAGACAGGAGATCAAAAAGTACAACCATCACCTCATCCAACTCCCAGCCTAACAATTACAAAGCAAAACAAAATAACTATTGACAACTTATCTACCTCAAGCTCGGGATATGTTAAGAAGAATTATACCGGGCTTCACTTCAGTGGAATTCACTTTTCTTTTAATATCACTAACAGTGTAGCCAGAAGAATACATCATCTCTTCCTGTGCCTAAAATAATTGTTGACAGTGTATGGTTCAGGAAGAAAAGCATGGTATTCTCTGCATTTGGGTTACCTACATGATATCCTTCTTTGTCCCACTCGAGCAATCAGTGTTTTCTACACCTGCCTGTCACAGCTTGCTGCTATTTACACAGTGAGCTGTTTTATAAAAAGTCTGCATAGTACCCAACAAAATGAGGCCTCAGGCACTTACTATAACAGACAGCACCACTTAAGTGGTCTATTCAGTTACTGCCTGACTCTACTGCATGGCTTTATATTGTCAAAATAATCTAATCTCAAAATCAAAAGCAGGGCTCTGCACCAGTTTAACCCAATTATTTTTAAACCTTTTCCACACAATGCAGCTGACAGAGCTGAGATAAATATTTAAATATTACAAACGCTAAAATATTTTTAATTCAACTATAAACACTGTGATTATCACTGGAAAACATAGCAGTTACAAACCCTTCAAAAACTTGTGCGGTCTGATCAGGGTTAAGGATCAGGCAGGCATGGTAACGGCGAAGAACAGCTACAATGCACACACACAATCCTGTTGTGTAACTTCCTGCTAGACTGGATGACTTCAGCAGTAATTCTGCTTCCACAACACTCAGTTCATTTAACAACTAAGATATAAGAAAAAACAGAATTAAAGTGCATTTCTAAATTTTAAAGAATTTCCAGTATTTATCAGTAAGGAAAAACATTGCAATACCAAATAATAACATTTTAAAACTATTTATGATTATTCAATATTTAAAAAATCCTTATACACAAGAGAGAGAGAGAGAGAGAGAGAGAGAGAGAGAAAGCTGTAAAAAAAAATTTTTTTAAAAGAACCTACGGAATTTTTCTTCATACATCTAGTATCTTTCTTCTGTCTACTATCCAGGTTGTAGCCATATTGGTCTACAGGCAAAAAGAATCCGGATTCATGGGGGGAAGTGGTATCTTATTGCAAAAATCTTGTTGTGGAATCTACCACAAGGTCCGATTCTTTTCTTGTGTCTAAACACTTGGAGTTGCATTAAAGACAGAGGTGCAAAGTGCTACAGGCTAAAGTAGCCACCAAAACCTTTATTAAATAAGATGATCTGGATTTGCTAGTTTGATAACTAAAACTACATTTTAAATATTATTATACTGAGAAAAGTTAAGATATGATTACAGACCATAAATGTACTATATAGCTGCTTTGGGTCACAGATTTCAAAGGGTTGCAAAAGGATGACTCAGGCACAGAAGGTTGGAGATAGGGAAACTGAGGCTTGCACATGCATACACATGTTTAAAATGAATCTGTTACCTTCATATCTATAAGAAAAATGAATCTGTTACCTTCATATCTATAAGAAAAATGAAAAATTACTAACAGCTAAGGGAATTTTATTTTTACAATAGTCCATTGTGTACAACACTGTTACACAAACCACACAACTACTTGTCAAATGTGAGCTATTTGCAGAAAAGTTATAGTGTAACTTTGTCCGGACTTACATAAGCATAAAGCGATTGCTTGTTACCTGTATGGCAAAGTCAATAAGGCCATTGATATTTAGTGCCGGCTCCATAAGATCAAAGATAAGTTGTATGTGGTGAGCCAGAGGAAGGTGGTATGATGTTCCGGAGGCAAAACTAGTAATTTGTTCCAGAACATTACTGGAGATCTGTGGAGGAAAAAAAATATAAATTACAACTTGCAACAGTTGCTACCATTCCTAATACCAATGTAGGTAAGTTATTTTGCTATTTTTTGCAAGTGTCCAAAAAAAATTAACATATGATAACCAAGACAAAGTTTCACTTCCCATGTTATTATTATGTATAATTTGTTATGAATCAGTTTTGTTTTCTACAGTAGGAAACCAAGACAGGCTTTCCTAGGAACTAAATGACTTTCCTAGGAACTTTTTCTTCAATTCTGTAATTTTATTTTATAATTTTTTGTAATTTTAATTTTATGAGGTATTTAAAAAGGTGTAATTTACATTTAAGAGAGTGGGTAAATCAATGCTTTTTATTTTTTGCGTTGTGATTTTTTTAAATTCATATTCATTTTGGTAAGTAGTTTGGATAATACTAAAGACAAATCAAAGCAATCGATCTTAAAATACACATAGTAAAACCATCCAAAGGAATGTTGCCTCAAGTATGCAATCTAAAATATTTTCAAAATTATTAGATTTCCCCTTTTACTTCCTTTACAATGTTTTGTATTCCGAGTTCTGATAGTAAAGTATATTTAAAACCAATCTTTAAAGATATCATTAATTTCAGCATAGTAATAATTAACTTTTCTCCTAATGACTAAGTTTTGCAAGGCTATATTGACATATTAGCACATTGTGAAAGGAAACAAACTTGCAATTTCAGATAAAAATGTCCATGAAAAGTCCACCAGCAAGTTTAAGCATTCCCTGTGATTTCTAACTTCACACAGGAACTTGGATGGTAAAAATAATAATAATAAAAGTTTTAACTCTAAGAAAAAATTAAGTGAAGATCTAAACACACACATATAGATTTTTAGACGAAAACGAAGAAAAGGTGTCATAATTTTCAAGACTAAAATAACTAGTGCCCCTGACCTGAGTGACCTCCTATACAAAAAAAGAGATGAACTGAAAAGAAGCATTCATTTTTCAAGCAAGCAATAAATATTGTAGTAAATTGTCAGTCTAAAAGTACAATGATCTTCCTAATACTTCAAATGAACAGCATATATTCATGACGTTCGTAACAGCTTTGGTAACATTTAAAAAAAAAAAAAAATCAAACATACTGAAGAAGATAATGAAGCAGCATTTTCCTTGCTTTTAGAATAGTGAACTTAAAATTACTAATACACACAGATTTCTTAGTACAATTTTCTTCTGACCGAATTTGTAAACAATGACGTTTAAATGGCTACAATTTTACGCAAGTCAAGTACCTGAGATGTCACCTGATGTTGATCAAAATATGACAGTTGTTGCAGTTTTGTGAATACAGTCTCTAGAGTTGGAAATGCTTCCTGTTTGTTCTTCCTGGCTTTTTGCCCTTCATCCCCAACTTAACAGATAAAACATTATTTTGGTCATTTTATATTTAATGGAGCCCATGTAGTTTTGCATTATTACTGCTTCAAAAGACATTAATAATTAAAATGTTTGGTTCAAGATAGCATAAGACAATTTGTCCCAGTCTTCCATTGTGCTTGAAAAAATACAGTTCATGATATATAACAGTATATAACTTCAGAGAAACCCTATTTTTAAGTTTATTCAAATGCAAACAAACAAACAAACAAAAAAAAAGCAACATGAGTAGCAAGAGTTGAAAAGTATTCTAACAAATTTTCTACAAAGGTAATGAATCTCTCTCTCTCTCAGGCTGACACCTTGTATTCCAGGTTTTAGCCTGAACAAAATTCTTTTTTTTTCTTTTTTTTTTTTTTTTTTACAGCTAAGTTATTCATCTGAAAATAGGAACTCAATTTATACAATACTAAAAACTGTAATGCTGCAGTTATAAGGCAGACCTACGGTAGGCATTTCATGCTGCAGGACTAGTATCAGTATTTGGCTGATTAACTGTGAAGGGGATGAAAGCCAAATAACATTAGAAAACTGCATAGCTCTAACAAGAACTTCTTCTACACATCATGCACGACAAATTATGGAAAGCTCAGTCTTATGCAGCAACACAAAGGCATTTACCACCCGTTTCAGTAGTACTTTTCTTATTCAGGATCTTCAGGATATCTTTGGTAATTTTCTTTAGCTGATGCCTTGCCTCATCACGTTCTTTGCCAACACCATAAAGAAGTATCATGCGCTGGTTACATTCATGACTTGAAGATTCATCCTGAAAAATAAACAATGAAGCAATTTTGGTCATTTCTCATTGATCAGAACTTAAAGGAATAACAAAAGCACTCTTATCTAGTATAAATACAATCTGAATTTACATATGTGTAAGTAATTTAGCCAACACTAGAGCTGCTGCATGCTCAACACTTTTGAAACTCAGATGACTTAAACAGATGTGTACACATATTCTTATAGTCCATAGTGTAAGACAATACTCCATCTTTCTCACTCTCTCATTTACTGAATATTTAGAATCAGAGATCCTGAAGCAGGAAGAAAGACCTACTACACCTTTGCCTCCTTCTCAAATGGCACCTTGACATCCCAAACTTAAAAGTCAGTGCTACTTCAGAACGAAACTCACATCAGCACCCTGTAAGCAGGTCCAACTAATTCTTAGGGCTGTGCGAAACATCAGCATTCATTTCGACTTCTGTTTCAACATTTCAACAGGATAGTGTTTTGTTTCAATGTTTTGTTTAGTTTCAACGCCCTGTTCCATTTCGTTTCGCTGAAACTGTTTCGACATTTCACCCATAGGCTATAATGGGGAATAATGAAAATGCCAATAACTTTGTCATTTCTTATCCGATTCAAATGAAAATTGCAAGGATGGTAGCCCCTTCTGAGGGTATGAAAACTGCCAAATTTCAAGGAGATAGGTCATGGGGTTTCTGGGAAACTGCACCTCAAGATGCTGACAAGCAAAACTTGTGTCACTTGCCGGCAGCAGCCTTCTGTCATCCTGCACGCAGATCTGGAGGTCCACACCCCCAGGAGGGCTGTGGGGATGTGCCAGACACGTCTCAGGGGTATGGGCCCTCGGATCTGCGCTTGGGATGACAGGAGGCTGGCACTGCTGCCCAGGACCACCACTGGGTGTGGCCCATACCCAGCGCTGGGAAGACTGGTGCTGCCGCTGGCCCCAGGCAGCAGCAGCAGCAGCAGCTTCCTGTCATCCTGTGTGCAGATGTGGGGGCCTGCATCCCCTGGAGAGCTGTGGGGCAGCGCTGGACTCCTTCCAGGGGTGCGGGCCCCCAGATCTATGCTCAGAATGACAGAAGGCTGCTCCTGCCAGGATTACAGGAGGACTCCGGCAGCACTGGGATGGTGGGTTGAGCTCAATGGGACTGGCAGAGCCACTCAGAGTGCAGCCCTGTCTCTCCCCACTTGCCACCACTGGGCTGTGCTCCGATCATCTCCACCAGTCCCACAGAGCTGAGCCTGGCGGCGGGAAGTGGGGGAGAGCCAGTGGCTATGGCTGACTTTCAAGCACTCCACCACTGGCTCTCCCGCTGCCTGCTGCCACCGGGCTGAGCTCTGTGGGACTGTCGGAGCCGCTGGGAGCGCAGCCGGTGGTGGGAGGCAGGGGAGAGCCAATGGCGGAGCCACTCAGAGTGCAGCACTGGCTAGTGGCTCTACCCCACCTCCTGCCACCAGGCTCAGCTCTGTGAGGCTGGGGGAGCCGCTCAGAGTGCATCCCAGTGGCAGGGGATGGGGGATGGCTGACAGCCAGGGAAGCACTCCAAGTGGCTCCACCAGCTCCACAGAGCTCAGCCCAGCAGCAGGAGGCAAGGGAGAGCCAGGGCTTCACTCCACCACCCACTGCTGGGCTGAGCTCCGTGGGGCTGGCAGAGCCACTCGGAGTGCAGTCCTGGCCCTCCCCCGCCCCCCGCCACCGGGCTGTTTCATGTGCCTTCATTTCTTTTCAAAGCTGTTCTGAAGCTTTTTGTTTCATTTTGATTTGGCTGTTTCAAGCTCAAAACGTGTTGAAACAGCTTCGAAACGAAACACTCAGCAAAGTTTTGCACAGCCCTACTAATTCTCTCCCATCTCCAGAGATTTTGTATCAGGTAAGGCTGATGCTGGAACCAATTAATGTAGAAGCTACATTACTTACTAGGATAGCATAGTATGTTTACTAGACCAACTAGTGCCCAGTTCTCATAGCTAGAAGTGAAAAGATTATGGGGTAGAAATAAGATAAAAAATGAAAATTCATATCAGTTTCTTTTCCATCCAGCTTTAGTACTAAACTAAACTAACTTTTGTTATGCAGTGATGTCGTATTCTGATAAAAAAGATAGAGAAAAAAAATCTGAAAGCTATCTACAAGCCCATCATCATTAACTACTCAACATTTGTAAAATCTGAGAAGCAGACTGGCCTTGTTTTAAAAAGTTATAGCAGCTCACAATTATGTAGGGTTTTATAGGATAATCACAGGCCATTTTGAGGCCCTCTTGCTGGATCCTATCAAGCTGCCAAGTTAGGACCCACACCCAAGGCTCATGTGCTTTAGTCTGGGTAGGTACTAACTTTTTCTTCTTTTGACCCACAGATTCTCCATCTCAGAATGGGGAATTGGACCCCAAGTCTACCAAGACCAGCACTGAACACCATTCCATAAAACTCTCCTTATTAACTTAAGCATGCCTTTCCCCAAAAATCCAGACTTGTGGACACACTGCTTTATAGCTCACCCCTTAAAGGACATTTGATCATTGAAGCTAATAAACAGAATTTGAAGAAGGATTTCTAAAGCAATCAGTCTTTATTTTACATAATGTTAGAAAAATATAGGGCCATATAAATATAGGTGGCAGAAGGGGAGGGCTAACAGGGCTTAGCTCCCCCAAGCACAGGGCAGTGTAAGAGCTGCAAGGCAGCCTGGCCACGGGCTTCCAGCAGCTGCAGCAGGGGTGAGGGAGGGAGTGGGCAGGGGCAGATGCTGCACAGTTGGGGTGGGGTGAGAGATGGAGCCGTCAGCAGCTCATCTGCGGGATGTGGCTCCGCCGCTACATGCACCCTGGGAAGGCACCGGGGGGCGGGGGGGGGGGGTGTCCCCTGGATCTCCGCAGGGCAAACTGTGGCTGTGGGCTGGGGCAACTCTGGACTCTTCCCAGCAGGGGTGGGGGCTGGGCCAGGAAGGGCTCAGGGAAGGCGGCAGCAGCGCTAGGAGGGAGATTACAGGGGGGCTGCAGCCACCCCAAAATTCACTGACCCCACCCCAAAAACCCTTTCCAGTGCTGCTGCCACCTGCCCCAAGCATGACATGGCCCAACCCCACCCCCCCACTGTGAAGAATCTCCCCCACAGATCCAGGGGCACATGCCTCCCATGCCCTCCCGGGGTTCATGCAGCAGATGAAGCTGCCACTCCCCCTCTTCCCCCCATACCAGGCACCCCCTGGACAAGCCATTGATGACTCCATCCCATGCCAGCGCCACTCCCTCTCCCTGCCCTTTCCCCCACAGACTTATCTGCTGCGGGGAGGGGTGTGCATACGCACATGCACGCAAACTCAGCACCCCCAAATAATTTTCTCTCCCTGCCTATGCATATAAAGTAAAACAAGCCTGTGCTCATGACCTTGCTTCAGTATCCTCACAGCTCTTTAGCAACATTAGCATTCTGATAAGAATCTTTGGGGGCTGGACAGGGAAGACAGTGAAGGGAGCAGGCTCCTTCCCATTTTGCTTGCTGTTTGTTTTTAACAGCTTTTAGTCCCCCTTTTTTGTAGCCTCCATTTTCTGCCCATCACATTCCCTATCTCTCTGGTCTGCCTCACAGGCCTGCTATTTGTTCACCACCTACCTAGAATCCAGAACTGAATAACTTGTGTTCCCTGGGAGATAACAAGTCCTTTTTCCCAGTCCACTTAAATTTAACATTGTTCTCTTACTAGCGCTCAGTGAGGTACAAAAAATAAAAATAAAAAAAATAAAAAATCACCAGATTTTTCCCATGCATTTCACCTTAATATGGGAGTACACAGCTCAGGTGAAAACACAGAGGAATCTTTATAAAAAACAACAACAACAACCAACACCAGTGCACAGAAAACAAAATTAATTTTGTACTTTGATCATTAATATAAAGAGGTCATGACATCAACTAGAATTCACAAGTTGTTCATAGAAGGTCCTACAGATGACAACTAGGCTACATGTAATTTAATTCACACAAACTTGTTTTTATTGGTTTTAAAAATCTGTATTTACTATTCACATATTAGAGTAAAAACCAATGTAGTTCCCCCCCGCTTTTATACAATACCAGCGTTTGCATTCTTGAATTTTTAGTTAAAAAATTTTTTTCAGTTAAATTGATTTGTGCAATAGTGTACAATTGTCAGCTAACTGACCTGTAACTGCAAGGTATTTTTTATTTTCATTGTTTGAATAATAAGTACAGATTTTTAAAATCAATAAAAATGTATACTCTATTTTGTATTATGTTTCTTTAAATTCCTTGCATAATCTTTCCTCTTACAAAAGGGCTTTATATAACGTTAACTTGTAGTAAATACATTAGAAATCTGAAAATAAAATACAAGAAGAATCAATAAATTGTAAGGTAATATATTGCTAGTTGAAGCTAATAAATCACCAACCACTTTAACAAATCATGTATATATTCAAATCATGTACACATTATTTCTAAGCAAATAATAGGAAAAGCAAAGCCTGAACATCTTCACTAATAATACACACACACGCATATATATCACATCACAAGACAAAGATGCTTATCATGTCATTTGAACTTTTCTAAAGCTACACAAAATAACTGCTATGTAAATACTTTTATAATATACATGACCTGTAGTTTTATCAAACATTTCTGCAACTGGGCTAAAAGCAGGAAGATAATGCACCTAATCCTTTTTTAACCAATTCTCTTTTCCCCCTTTCACAGGAAATAGAAGCAGAAGCACTGAGGCTGTCACTCAGACCGTGAGACTGACTTTCTGCGCAATTGAAGACAACAGTTCCAAGCCAGAGGCTGTCCTAAATACTAAGGCTGAAATGTGCAGCTTCCTCCCCATTCACTCTTACTCTTTTGATCTGAAGATTTTCTTATAAACTAATAAGCATCAGGCTTAGAAAAAGAAAAGAAAGGAAGGAAGGAAAAGAAACCAGAAATGACTCGTTGCTACCAATAATAACCTTCTATCACAGAGAAGACTTCACTTTTCAGCATTTGTCTACAGTGCAAAGGTAATTTTATTTTTGAAAATGCTCTTTCTGCTTCTTCATGGTTGTGCATAGCCATTTAATAATGATTTAGGTTGGCACTAAAATGCTATTTTTACTAAAAAAATGAAAGGAATTTATGAACCAGCTTACAATAATCTATGTGTAGACATAAAAATGAGCACCTACTCATAGAATGTATGTGAGAGAGGTGCATACCATCTCATAAAACCTTGAGTGTCTGACATGCCTCATTTTAAACAAAGACGTTAATACATCAATATTATCTCAACATAGCCATTTTAGAATAGTATTATTAAAGTGCCTAAAAACTGTTCTTATTATCATTCAAGTTGATGTTTCTCAATTCTCAAAAGATTTGGATTAAATATGATCAGATCCATGTTTTTTTACATAGAAGACCATCACATAAGAATTGCCATTTACTGGCTCAGACCATAGGTCCATTTTGTCCAGTATACTCTGTCACCCAGTGGCAGAATGGATGCTGAAAGGGAGAGTGAACTAGGTATGACCAGGGTTTTTTTCCCCACTGTTTCTCTCTCACTTGCAGCCTCCAGCATTTAAGGTCAAAGAAGTTCTGATTCAGAGGCTGCATCCATAACTCCCATGATCAACAGCTACCGATGTCCCTTTTTTCTAAGAATCTGTCCAATCCCGTTTTGAATCTGGCTAAACTATCAGCTTCTACAACATCTGGTGGTAACAAGTTCCACTTTTCAGTAACACACCATGTGAAAAAAATGCCTTTCGTTAGTTTTAAATTCACTACCTACTAGTTTTATTTTGTTTGAAATCTTGTATTGAGAGAGAGAGAGAGAGTAAATAATAAATCCCTATTTACTTTCTTTTCACCATTTAGTATTTTGTAAACCCTTATCAAGTTCCCTCAAGCATCTTTTTTTCTGAACTGAGCAGGCCAAACTTCTTTAGTCCCTCCTCGCATGAAAGCCCTTCCATACCATTAATCATGCTTACTGTCTTCTCTGTACCTGCTCTAGTTCCTCTACATCATTTTGAGGTGTGGGGATCAGAACTGGGTGGGCCCAGTATTCAAGGTGTGGGCACACCATGGATTTATACAGGGACATGATGATACTTTCAGTTTTGTTTGCCATTCCCTTCTTAATAATCCCTAATATTTTGTTTGCTTTTCTGATGGCTGCTGAGCACTGAGCTGATGTTTTTAGTGAACTGTCTACAGTGACTCCCAGTTCTCTTTCCTATGTGGTAACAGTTAATGTACAGCCCATCATAGTGTAGGCATAGTTTAGGTTATTGGGTTAGGTTTATGCTCATGTGCATCACTTTACATTTATCCACACTGCATTTCATGTGCCATTTAGTTGCCCATTCACTCAGTAGTACCAGATCCTTGTGTAGTTCCTCACAGTCTACTTGGTCTTTACCACTGAATAATTGCATGTCAAAAATCACAAATCTGTATCAGTCACCTGGAAAACCCAGTGTGAATTACTAACTTTTATTAATAACTGAGTAAACGAGCTACTAAATTGAAACAAAACTTGAACAAAGTAGTTTTATTTTTATCCAGAACACGATCAATTCAGATATTTTTTGTAACAAAGGGGATAAATCGTAATTTTGTACAAGTGGGTGCATATAACCAACATAATAAGTAGCAAGACTGCAAGTTATTTGTGAAGGAACACAGACCACAGATACTGTAGATTGGGACAACAATGTAATACGCATTCGGAGACCTCTTCCCCTGAAAATGAACAAGCCTTTATATACAATTATTTTAAAGGATTTGTTAGTAAATATTTTGACTTGTCAAGATCCGTTACTTTAAATAATTGCTTTCTATTAACATGCTGCCAGATGAATTCTAGCAGCATTTCCCATCCTGTTTCATATTTTTCCACCTTTGACATGGACAAAGAAAAGCAACATTAAACGTATTAGTAATAAACTACCATTTGATGCTTACTGTGTTTTCCAACCAACACAACAGCCTCATGGCGCTTTCATATTCTGGCTTTCAGGAAATGCTAAATCTTGAACCTCAATAGCTGAGACTCTATAACCAATTATCTGTGAACCTGAATAAGTGCAGTTTTCATATCTAAAGCTTGAAACAGACGTCCATTCCTATATTATGATACCAATAGTCTATTTTCCCCGAAGGTAGATTTGCTGTGGGATCATCATGTGAAGAGGTGAGCCTGGTTACTTAAAAAGCTTTAGGTTTGAAAGCTTTAGGTATCCTCAGCAACAGAGAACTGAGAATGCTTCTGTGTCAACGGACTGCACATCCAAACTTCTATTTCAATTTGTGACAACCAGAAGGCAAAACACATTCCTTGGCATACAGGTGTCTTCATTCTTGCCCAAAATATGAGACAGAGTTTGATAACTGAGGTAGGACAGGTGCAGTATGTGTGGGGACAAACCTTCTTATAGTGCTGCCCCAATGAGCATTCAGTTCTCCCTCAGGGAATGGCTTGCTAGGGGATTTTGCACTGTAAGTGTCACATCCTCTGGGAACTAAAGTTTAACGGTCCACCACTTCAACAGGTGACTACAGGGACTCGCAATGAACACTAAACAAACTTCCCAACTGCAGGGACAACGTAGGTGCAAAACATTCACTACAATTTTCCTTCCTCCAAACAGAGGGGACTGTGCAGCAGCACAGAAGCTGGTGAGTTGACAAATGCCTTAGTGGTAGCCCAATTGGCCAGATGGAGTACTAAGGATGCAGATCAACTATAGAGATCACAACTTGAGTGTCCTCCCATTACCTTGCTACAGCTGATCAGAGAAGCCAATTCATGTATTCTTTTCCAGTTTCCAGCATCTGAGCTAGTGAAGGAACCACAACAGTATGCTTGGCTCAGACCCCACCCACTCTCTTCCCAAATCCTGAGCAGCAATAGCAGCAGCAAAAGGAACAATCCTAAAGTTATTTCATTTCCTCATTCCACCCTCACTACATAAGTACAAATTCAAACAACTGTAAAACAGCTATGAGGACAGAGAGAGACAGAAGAAAATCTCAGAAGAAGTTTTAAAAAAGTGATGTCAACACATGGAGAGAAATGAGAGCCCAAAACAAAGAGAAAGGAGACAAAACTGATAACATGTAGGGAA